TGATTTTTTACGTGCTGACTATTGTAAATTTCACTTATTTTAGATATTTTTTGGTTTTCTTTGGAGCTGTTACCTCTAACTAGATCATAATGCTCATTTTCACTCCACTCTAGCCTGTTGTAGAAGTAATATGGCACTGAAGTCCTTGCTGTTTTGAGGTCCTCTAATGATGCAAAATAGACTAGAGCATTCCCACTCAGATTATTATTTTTATTAGTGAGTTTAAACACTATCTTAGCTTTGAACCTTCTTAGTTGTCTAATTAGAACTGACTCAAGTGCCAAATTTGGTATTTTTCTAAGCATTAATCTGTACTTTTTTCTTGTTTCTAGTTCCTTAACGTCAAATCTACTTGCTGTGATTCTGCTTGTCTTACCTCCTTCGAAATGTATAGCCCACGCATTTTGTAGATTTAACTTCTGTACTTCATTTCTGCATGTAATCTTTATATATACTGCTACTGATCTTTTTAAAGTGCACTATTCTAAAAGTTCTACTCTACCAAATTGATTAAGACATCTTTAAATTCTTGCTAAGTTTACTCCAAAAGGTAAATCCCAAATTGTAGAGAATAACTCAACATTTTTCTTCTCTTTATGATGCTCAGTTTTATTTACTAACTGATTGTTTAGAGGCAATATATTTTTAGGTGCCCACGACGAGCTATATATGTCTTTTCTTTCTTGAGCCTCTTTTCTAAAGTTGGCTTGTTTTTCTAAATTCTGCTTTTCATCGGCATTTATTTGCTGTTTTATCTCTATATTTATATTATTAAAACTTTTACTAAAGATATAAGTTTTGCTGTATTCTCTGTACCATGATCTGGTGTTTCGCTTTCAGAAAAGATTAATGAGAATTTGTAGTCCTCTTTTTGGTTATGACATTGATTAGCAATTCTTTATCACCTTCATTAAAGTTTAATTCTGCATTTTTGATGTATTTTGTTTCTTTCTTTTTTGAGACTATATTGTCTTGATTGTCTACATTATATACTCTTTTCCCAAGTATCGAGACTAGAGATTTTATGTCTAAATTCATTTCTGTACGTTGGCCTAAAACTTGACTGGAGACAGATTCCATTAGAACTTCACCTTAAGTTGTGCTTCTACTTCTGATAATTTTTTTCTATTACTTTTTTTACCTTGGATCTATTTATAGCTATCTAATAACCCTTGAATTATTCTAATTTGTTCTGGGTGAGGTGCACCCATAAAACTTGCTATATCTCTATCTATCTTGAGAGTTACACATTTTTGTTCTTTGTAAACTTCTTCCATTTGTTTCTCAGGGTTGTTGAAAAAATTCTTTAAGTCTGCTATTCTAGCCATTTTTGTTTTGACATCTCTATAATCTACTACGTGACAAATTCGTGTTGGTTGTTTGTTTACTTGTTTGTTTACTCGCAACTTTGTTTGTTTGTTTAGACTAAAAAGGACACGCGTCACTGTTTGTTGTTTTGGTGTAACAGTAAGTGATCTGTTTGTCAGAGGTTTGCCAAATTCCCACTTTTTGTGTCAAAAGTTGTAAAAATTTTGAAAAATTCCTAGTTGTCGCAGAATTTACTAATAAACTATATTATTTGCTTCTAAGAAAGTTTTTTTGTTTTATACAAAGACTTCTTTTTTCCTATAAGAGTTTTGGCCATTTGTTAACTTGTTTTTGTAAAATTTAGAGTTTTTACTAAGTTCTAAATTTGGACCGGAGGATTAGTAGAAAGAGTTTTGCTAAATTTAAATTTTCAACTTCATCATTAATATTATTATTGCTATTATTATTATTATTTTTATTATTATTTTTATTATCTTCATTATCTATATCTATATCATCTTCAGTTAATACAATATATTAGCTTCTTTTTCTAATCTAGTTATAAAAGACTTTATATTATACTTAATTCTAGTTTCATAATAATCATAACAATATTTATATCTTTCTTCTATTGTATTATAACATATTACATGATATTCATGCCCACAAATTAAAACTTCTGCTTCATATTGATTTTTTAAAAGAGTATCACATAAATTACAATTAATTAATGAAAGAATTTTTTTAGTAAAATATCTACAAGGAAGTTGCTTTGTTGATACAGTAATTTCAAGTGCTAGTAAATAATAATAAAAAAATTTAAAATTTGTATCTTGATATTCTAAATCTTTAGTTAAATATAAAATAATTTAATAAAAAAATAAGGGTTGGAATCCCGTGGCCTAGTGGTCTAGACACCCAACTCTCTATGAGCAAGTTTCAGGTTCAAGTCCTAGTAAGTATGTTTATTTATGAATATTTGGAAATATCTGCCGTGGGAAGTTCAAGTGAATACAAGTCTGTATTAGGAATTTTCAGAAGGAGATCTATTGTGAAGTAGTTAGCACTACGTGTAATATTGGTCATTATAGAAGGTTCTATTACACAAAAATTGTGCATATAAATCTGCGATTGACAAGGTAGCACCAACAACCGCTAAGGTGGTATTGAGAATCTTGTTAAGGAAGATGACCGGACAGTAATCAGAATTGGAAGTGGTAAGAAATGTGGTAAACACAAAGAGACCTGTGATAAAGAATTGGCCTTATCAGATTTGAAACACCTCTGGTAGTATGGAACTCACTAGCTAATAAGAAGTTGAAGCATGGAGGTGTGTACATATTGATAGATCCAATAGGCTCTAGTCATACCCATATAGGAGCCTTGGGCATTAAGAGAACTTGGGAACACCAATAAGGTATAGCTGGTATAAGTGCATATAGTGGTAATCAGGAGCTACAACTGCCAAGAATTACTATAAAGAGAAACGATAACGTACCTGTTATCTCTGAGCCTCATGATACCATCCAACTATATTAACTACTAGAAGCATTCTGCAAAACATACCTGGGGACTTGTCACTATATTGGGAAGTATAGTTGTTAGCACAATTACCAAAATAGATACGTTAAAACCTAGGTTTCAAAGTTACAGGAAACTAGCTAGTTATGGCAACATGCAGGCTTGAGATACTTACCCAATTGGGTAGAGGCAGCTGCATGGCTTGAGATATAAACTCCTGAAAGTATGCCATTAGAGACTAAGGGAGTAATTCTCTGTTAGGCACACCAAACTGGAAGCAACAAGCACCTATCTGGAGCAACACACACCGATTTGGAAGTTGAAAGAGTAGGTAATGTAGGTAATATAGCAAATATGTAAATACTAATTGGTGGTTGGGGAGGGATATACAAATCCAGGTCAGCTATATAGTGGGAATACGGTTAGCTCTGGTGGGTTTTAGCCGTGGATAAATGGTTTGTATATCTAATGTTCTAGTCTTAGTACTTGAACTAATATGTATATGTATAGGCACTATTATATGTTAATTATTTAAGTATTAATAAAGTCTAAGTGTGGGTGCTACACCCTTAAAATTTAAAAAAAAAAAATAGATGTTTTTTGAATTAAATAATTCAAACTTGATTGTGTATAAGAATATTTTTAAAATTTTGAAAGTTTTGTTTAAATTGATCTTAGCAATATAAATCTAATATATAATATATAGTATATAATAATTAATTTTATAATATTAAAAAATTGTAATTATTAAAAAATTAAAATATTTTAAATATTTTATAATTTACCAATAACAAATGCTTCTCTAATTATTTCATCTGAGTAAAATATTTTGTTGTATAAGCTCTAATTCTACTATACATATTTTCTACATAATAATTATTAAAATAAACTAAAAAACTTTAATAGATTCATTAAAAGGATGATTATTATCTTCCCAATAAAAAACATCTGAGAGAAAAGCTAAAGAAGCCTTATTATAATTTTTTTTAGACCATTTTAGTGCAAATATCCAAATTCTAAAAATTGTTTTTATATATTCCATATATGAACCAAATCTAAATAAAATTGCATAAATATAAATTACTCTTGTTATAGTGAAGTAGTTGGGACTATTAATAAATTTTTTTAAAAAATTTACTATATCAAGAGTTTATTAGTAAATTCACTATATTGAGAGAATTTTATATAGACTAGTTTTGAGAAAAACTTCACTATAACTATGTCTTCATTATAACGAGAGTTTACTATAACGAGAGTGACTTGTATCCAAAGTAGCAAGAATTATATTATCTAATAAATCAATAGCTATTCTATATTCAGTTTCTTTACAATATAATCCAAATTTTTCAAAAATAATTTTTTTAATTTTTTGCTATGCTTTATGTACTAATTCTAATAAAAGATTAATTCACCAAGGTTTAGATTTTTTAACTAATTTTTTTTTTATCACCAAATACAAAATGAAATAGTTGTTTAAAAAATTCATAATTAATTATTAATGATGTTTCTTTACTATTTAATACAACATGAAGAGGACCAATAATTGAATGAAAATTTTTATAAACTTGCAGAATATTTGCTGCTGATTGTTGGATTTTTAAATATGTAATAATTTTTCTAATAAATAATTGTCCTGGCCAATCTGTAATTATTAGAATTACATTTTGTTTTAAATAATTATTAAGTGAAGAAACCTTAATAATTATTTTAAAAGCATTAGCATAATTATCAAATTAGTGTAATCCTGATTGTTTAAAATCTATAAGCTATAAATCTTTCATTGATCTTTTTTTTTATATTCCAAAATAGCATCTTCATATAAATGAATTGTTAAATTATCTATACTTTCAAATTTATCTAATTTAAGAGTTGAATAAGATATCTATTAAGACTTTGAATTATTATAGCTTATATCAAAAAGTAAGCTATATATTTGGTTTAAATGTTTACAATGATTATTAGCATCAATATTAATTGGATTAAATAAAGGAATATCATTATAATTAGTTAGAATAGGCATTGAAAAATCAACTTTTTTTAGCTATACATATTGTAAAATGTTTAGTTGAAGATAAAAAAATATTATCTGATCTACGTATTTTATAAATTAAATGATAATCATCAAGATTAAATGTATATAAATAATTTATCTATAAAATATAAATTAATAAATGGAAAAATATTTTCCATGTACCTGCATAGCTATGCACTCCTATATACATTATAAATAATATCATTAAGATAATAATTTTTTTTGGTTTGATTTTTTTTTGCTTTTGACTAATTTTTTATTTTTTTTTTATCTTTAGCTGCTATCATTGGCATCATAATTGGTGTCGTCACAGATATTGTCTCAAGTAGCATCATTGGTGTTATCACAGATATTGTCTCAAGTGTTATTACTAGTGTTGTCACAAGTATTGTCTCAGGTGTTGTTACTGGTGTTATTGTTGGTATCATTGTTGGTATTGTCACTGTTAGATTTTCTTCTAGGTTTTTTTAGTGAGTTGTTTGAGGACCCCGAACATCTTTTATATAGATCATAACTGATCTGCATAAATTTGGGGGGTTTTCGTTACCTCTAAAATCAAGTAAATTTGCTGAAAATTCAATATAATATATAAATTTTATAGTAATTCGCTAAAAATTCACTTATCACATATATATTTATAAAAAAAAAAATTTAGATGTATTTTTGAGTACTGAAAAAGTTTATTTAGAACATAAAATTAGAATTAATTAGTAAAATTTTGAGAATAATAGCATTTTTTAGTATTTTTATTAATAAAATTATATAAAATATTAA